ATTTATCAAGTCACTGCTTTGTTAAAATTAAACAATCTTTGATAAAAAGCAGTGATGATTCAGAAATAGATAAATAAAACTTAGTCTTAAAGAAAAAGACTTCCCCCAATCGGAACGATCCGAAAGAACGAAGCCCAGGACACAGTCTTCTCAAGTGGGTGTGTGTCTGCCTAATACACCCACCGAGGTCTTCTTTTAGGTGTCCTGCGATTGCCCGAGCTGTCCTACTAAGTAGCTCAAGGCAACCTCTGATCGAAAATTTCTAAAGTCTATGAAAAAGCTCTCCCACACTCGGACTGCTCCAAGTGCACGAGAGTAGGGAACAATTTTTCTTCTCAAGTGGGTGTGTATTTGCCTAATACACCCACCGAGGTCTTCCTTTATTTGTTCCCGGATTGCCCGAACTTTCCTATTAAGTAGCTCAAGGCAACCACACAACCAAAATCACAATCAAAAAAAATTTTGTTCGGGTACTTCTAATACACCCAATGTAGAATCCAAAGTTGAACACGAATTTCCGGGTCAAAATGGGTTCTTATGATCCTGATAAGCACGCCTAATATCCTAATATGATCCTAATTCAATGGATATTTTCCGTTGCCCAAATAGCCACAGAAAGTTTACTCAAGTCTCTAACAAGGAAGATCGTTGGAATGTTTAAGACGCTCCGGAGGGTTACCTCGGAGGGTACCTTGATCACCCAAGTTACTTCGGAGGGTACCCTAATCACCCAAGTTACCTCGGAGGGTCCCCCCAAATTTACTAAGGAGGGTCAATAAGATGCTTAATATGCTCCGGAGGGTTACTTCGGAGGGTACCTCCAAAATTTTCAAATTTTTCGATCTCGCTTAGAAGGTTCTCCCCCTCGCTTCAAAAAGCATCAAAACAAGCTAGGAGCTCTCAGGGGAGCTGTTTTAACTTCTTAGGGTGATCTCGTGGAAATTTTCCACTAAGGAGGGTTGCTAAAGGGTTTAGCTGACTCCGGAGGGTCACCTCGGAGGGTTCCCCCAAAATCAAGAAAAAGGGTTATATCACCGCAGTAAAGCCTCTGAAAGCGGTCTACCTGACTTAAAACTAGGTTGGCTGACACGGTCAACCTTTCCAGTTGAATAAAAAGATGTTTTGATAAAATTTTCTGCCGCTCGGAGGGTTGCCCGTAATTTGGACCCTCCGAACCAACAAATTCTAAAAATTTTTCTTTTCCGAAATAATCAACCCAAAAACGGTTGCGATTCAGAAAATTGGTCAAAAACGTCGACTTATGGTACCAAAATTATCCCGATCGGATAACTAGTCTTTGAGAAATCGCCAAAAACGCGTTCGTCAAAATGGCCTTTTTCACCACCTGTATAGGATCTGAAAGACTTTTTTCGCAATTCCGGTCGAAAGTGCCTAAAAATACTTGAAATGAGCGTAGTAGCCCTGTACGGCACTGGAATAATGCAAAAAACCGGACCAAAATTGGTTTAGAAACAAAAATTTGGCCAAAAACTATCAAATTTGGACCCTCCGATTCCTTCCTTTTCCAAACCTTAAGTCGTTAGCTCTATCCACGGAGCTACTCGGAGGGTTACCCAAAAATTTCTCTAATAACCTAGCACGTTATGCTAGCACGCTCCTAACGCAAAAATTTTTATTGCTCTAACTCTAAAAACTCAAAAACTCGATCCCCAAAACCATTGACAAAATACAGAAAATTATCAAAATTTTGGTCGAAAAATTCTCGTTTTTCTAACTTCTACTGAATCTTTGCTCACGCGGTTTCTTTAATAAAGGGGATCGAACTACGTGGCTACTATCTATATAAAAGCTTTTTGCCTATCGGAAAAGCTCGGATATCCGAAAATTTGGGGGTCTACAGTTTGGTCGAAAATTGGTAATTTTCGACAAAAAATGGGTGTTTCTTGGGTCTAAATAGGAGATAAGTAATATATAGTAAGGACAATAATCTATAAATAGTCGTTAATAAATAGTACTATACCCTCCTTTGCACCAAAATATTCGAATTAAGACCCTTAACTCGGAAATTTGTAATCGATGGAGGGTACAATCGGACCGCGCCAATCGTGCCCCCCACCACTTAAGTTTTAAGGAAATAGTACCCGAACGATACTAAAATTGCTTCAACGATACCCAACAGTCGTTGCGGATGTTGTCCTTGATGTCCCTGTTGAGTGTGGAACACGTTGATCAGCCTGCCACTCTACCCTCCGGTCACCGGCAAAATCACCATTAACGTGCTTAAACACTCAAATTACACTCGAGGGAGGGTACCCAACCCTTCACCAAAACACACAATCTCTCTATCAGAAACGATATAAATCAATCTGAAACAACAACAAAAAGGAAGGTCAGATCACATCTCGTCCGGAAATAACATATAAACTGTCACTTTATGTTTTTTTTACTGTTTTTGGTCTTTTTTGGATTTTTTTACTGTTTGTTTTGTACTTTTTTGTTTTTAAATAAATTTATTTTTGGCTTTTTCTTGGTTATACACTATTTTTGTTTGGTTTTACGCTTTCTCTTTAATTGTTTTTTGTCCTGGGACCTCAGGACAAGCGGGCTCTAGATTTCCCACCTAACCCTCCGGCCCCCGGAATTTTCGGTGTTAACTAAGTTAAAAAGCTAAATTGCACCAGACGGAGGGTACGCACCTTCCCCCTAGTACAACAACGGTCATTAAGGCCTCTAACTCGGGCTTACGCCCGGAGCGGAGGGTACGTCGCTGAAACGCTTGCTGATCATGATGGTTTCATGCCTTTAACAGGCCCACCCAAGAGCGCCATAAAAACGTCTATGTAACATTCGCCCAAATATCACACAGCGACGGAGCGTAGAAAAAGTACCTATTAACGACTGGCAGGCGTCAGTTACCTTAATCCTACTCGTGTTTCACCGTCTCGACCTTGCCAGTTGATTTTCTGGTCTGTTTAGGGCAAAGTAAAAAGTTACCATTTTTAGGCCATCAGTCAAACGACTTTTGATCAGCTTTCGTTTGCATGCGAACACAACCACATAGCTGAGTCTCGGATCCTCAGACTACGTGATTGTCATTAAAAACACGGCTCGAACAACCTATTTTATTATGTTTTTGTGTGACAGTTTTATATTAAATCCATTGGAGATGGATTGACCCTTTCCCTTTTCTATCTACTCATGCTCTGAAATATTAAATAATAACGGTGTTAATTAAGATCTAGGACATTACAGCAGCTGTTACAGTTAGTTTACCCAGTCCCTTCACATATAACAGTCTCTGGGGGACCAAGCCTCCGCTCCCGTGATTTTCTTGAGATAACACTCTTATCTCCTATATTTCGTGTCCCGGGAGGGTTCCGTGGTATTTCTCTTCCCCCCACTGAAGCCTCCGTCTCCACAAATATCTGTCGCTAAGGTCCTTATCGTGTGTTCTTGCCACGATAAGAGGCTCCGTGTTTTTCTGTCTCTGATACAACTGTTCTTCACAATCTATATCGTGGTTCTGATTTTCGTCTTTTTTATTCAAAATGGCCGTCTTTTTTCTATTTCTCAGAAATGTTCTTCTTCCAATCGAAATTTTAAAAATAAAAATTCTAGAACATTCTGACCCTCCGTCGCAACACTTTTTTGTTCATAAGGCCTTTAGTCACTCTTTTTTATGTCGCCGGAAGGTTGTGCGGTGTCATCTGGCAGAATGGCACAAGCAGGCAGCTTTTTAAAACAGAGAATCTCCCTGGCAATACAGATTGCGAACGTCGCTTGCGTACTCGGAACAATAAATGACAAAATAACTTTCGACGAATTTTTTTTATTTGTAACACTTGTTTATTATATTTTCTCGTGTCGATTTGCGTGTTCTTACTGAAGAAACGTAACCCGTATCGATTTTAATTGAAAAGGACTTTAACACTTGTCATCTTCTGTTATCACTATCACTTCCATATCTAGAAAATTTCAAGGATTTTGACTGGAATACGTGATGAAGGGACTCCTGTCTGTAGCCTCGGTTACTATGATACTTTTGACCTTCTGATTATCTTCGAAAAAGCTATAAGAAAAAAAAATAAGAAAAAGAGAAACAAAGCGGAAATTTCGGACAATTGCTGTTCTGGCTCAAAATGATTGTGACTAAAGGGCTTGTTTTTAATTAAAATATTAATATTATTCAAGAAAATTTTGGACGAGCAACTTGGGTTCACACATTTGTAATACTGAATATCTTTGTTAGATTTTCGCCCTTTCTATTCGACTTCACAATTGAAAAATTTCACCATTTAGTAGAAGTGCCAGTTAAAATTATAAATGACCTGTTAAAGTGACCAGTTTAGTTTGTTACAGTTACAGTTCTTCTCTTAGACCATTCTTCCTGATGACTGGCAACCAGTTGAGTGATATATCATATTAACGCTTTTTCCGTCGCTTTTTCCCAAAAAAACTTCGCAGTGTCGAGAAAAACTTGTCGGTTTGAAATTTTGATTTTTCGTCTAGTTTCGACCGAATAAAGTGACGATAACTTGTATCATTGCTCATTTACGCTGAAAAAAATTGTGATTTTTCCAAAAGGAAACTAGTTTTGAAAACTATAACTGGCTCTTCCCTGGTAAGAAAATTAAAATATATATAATATATAGAATTTTTTTCTTGAATTTTTTCAATTTTTTGTTCGTTGTTGTTTTTGAACTGTTGTCGATTATGCCCAATTTACTAACTTTTTACGCGTGGGTATACTTATCATCATACCACGTACAAAAAATGACAATAATCTGAAGAACTTGACAATTTGGTGAACTTTTGTTTGTAGTTTTTATTAATATGGTCGGAACATTCTGTGATACTTGCACAGCAACCGGGTATCTTTGTTTCGTTTGGTATCAGTCTCTTTTCTATTTGTGTACCAAAAGTGGTGCAAAGCTTCGCTTCTGCTTTGTGTTATTAAAATTCCACATCTGCGAAAATTCTTGTTAGTCACTGCAGTTTCTTTATCATACTTGACTACACGTAATGAAAGTTTTTTTCGGACAGTTTTTATTATAGCTAAGGTCTGTCAAATGATTATTTATATGTTTGTGTACTAAAAGCTATGTATTGTGTCTTTTTCAAGGCGGTAAATCAAGCTCTGAAGTTTCAATTTGAAGAAGAGCCTTAAACTCCTCGTAGGACAGTCTTCCATCTTTGTCCTTGTCTCCTTCGTCAATAATTTCCATCACATCGTCTTCCGTCAAATTTTCTCCCAGTCCCATCAAGACATGCATCAGCTCATTTTTGCTTATGAAGCCATCGCCATTCCGATCGAAAACCTGAAAGTGGTTGGTATAAATGATTGAATGGTTGCACCAATTTATCATTTTCATTTTGTGTCTTGCCTTGAAAACAAGCTGTATAGTCATTTGTAGCGCGGGTTGCTAGGTAAATAAGACGACAGAAAATTTAGAAAACGAATGAGCGTTAAAATTGAACTAAATTTGAGCGAATTCTATTTCTCTGAAATACAATGTGGAGAATTGCGTGTAGCGTCGTCTTAAAGTCCCATCAAAATAAGACGAAAATAAGTACCATCAAAAAAGTACAATTTATCGACAACTCCATAAGCGCTATTGTAGAGGAAGGACGGCTAAGATAAATTAACATTATGACGATGCATTTAATGCTGATTTATGACTTCATTGCTGATATATATGCATTTTTATATCGCTGGTATGGGCCCTATCCAGCTTGTGCACTTACCGTAACTAAACGGAAGGGCCCCTTTTGTAATTTAGTTTTTTTTTATCAAAAACGGTCGTCGTTGAAAAGTAAAAGTTTAAATTATGTAGCATAGTATTAGTGTTTGATTGACATGTGATCTAAAAAAGTTGTTGTAGTGCACCGTGACTGATTTTCAACTAAGCGATGACAAGCAGTGGGTTAAGCAAAAACTGGAATACATGTACTGGTTAAAAAAATGGTTATAGGGAACAAGATGAACGGAGTTATAGGTAATATGTTGCGCAGTCATAAATGTTTCAAGAAGGTCTTTAAGAAAGAAGTTCAACATTCATCTCAATTTTCATGCTTCGAAAACTTTCGTTAACACTGATCATAGGGGAGCCTGAATTGAAAATAACGTAAATTTTTCAATAAAAATGCTCGTGATCAATTCAAAACATTTAATGGAAATGAACTGGAAAATAAACGTAGAAGTCAAGTAAATCCAGTCGGGCGAAATTTAGAAAATCAAGAAACCCATAGGACTCCTCGTATTCGCATGCCCATACGTAAAAAAAAATACGATCGTGCGATAATTATACCAGGAGTTTGGTCACAGACACCAAACACATACAAACTACTTTCTTTATGATATGTTTAGATTTATCTAAAAACTTTTTTCGCCACAGTGATATCTCGGAATCTCTGATATCACTTAATATAGCACGGGCTCTAGGGAAATAGTTGACTGAGAGTGGAAAACGTTAAAAGGGTAGTTGCCTTGCCTTAAACGCTATTGATATATCGTCGTTAGCATTTTTCTCTTTCCCATCCAGCGCAGAAGGGTTTTTCTTAATCATCATCTCGAGGAATTCGTTGAACTCTATTGACCCGTTGCCGTCTATGTCAATCTCCTCAATGAACTCCTTCAAGTCCTGACTGCTCATTGGCTGTCCCAACTGTGCCATCATTTTGCCCAACTCATCCTCGCCAATTGCTCCGTCTTTATCTGTTAAAGTATTGAATGCGTTCAACTAAAACGAAGTAATGTAAATTCTGCAATGCTGCTTCAATGTACCGTGTCCGCTCGTTTTAAAGAAGTTTTTAGTTTAATGATTCGGTCTAATCATTTCGCCATAGGAATTTTAGATCTCAAAATGGACTTTTTCACGGCCTAATATTGAATGGGTTCGATTTTTGTATAATTTTTCTTACCCAAATCAAACATGTCAAATGCCATGCGGTACTGTGCAATTTGCTCAGTACTGAATTGAATCGCCATCTTAGATTTTCAATCCAGCAGACGCGACAAGTTAACGGGTAAGAAGGTTTTCAGTAGTCAGAAAGCTTAAAAATTTAACCGTTTTAAATGTAAACAGTTTCGTTGATTATAATATCAGACTATTTATAATTCAACGTTTTTTCGCTGTGTGCAAAATTGACAGAATATGTCCAACATTTGGACAATGCGTGTTCAGTGACGCTGTTTTGTATAACTTGACTGCGCTAAACTAAAATCTATATGAGAATAAGAAAGAGGTCTTTCGTTTGGCGATAGATTCTTGCTAAGCTCCCTGCCATCAAAAAATTTATAAAAACGTTTGCTGATGTTTCCAGTATTGCAATGTATTCACGTCATATTTGCGAATAGCTTAATGAGAATAAGAGATGCCGAATGTAATAATAAGAGGTCCATCGACATTGGTTACTTGTGATGGAGATTCAGCATCAGCCCCTCGTGTCAAAACGTGGACCCTGCTTGAACTTCAGGGAGAGCTCATGAATCTAGACACACTCAATGACCTCTCAATCGCATCTCATGAAGGTCAAAAAGAGAATGAAGAAAACTCAGATCCCAAATATTTCAACCTGGTTGGCGATTTGCACTTCGATTTGAAAAGCGGCAACCCCTTATTCATAGTCGGCCATCACCTTTTAACCGGCAGAAGAGAGAAATTGACTAAACCGTATGTTGCAATGAAAAGAGTCACACAGAAAAATTTGGCTAAAGATAGTGCAGTTAATGAAGTTGAGGGAAATGATGCGGTTTATGAAGTTTATGCGATTGCGAGAGAAAAACTCATTTTTAATCAGAGACCCAAACCAATCATTGCATCTAGCAGTATTTCTTAATGTTTTCAGTTCCTTGAAAATTGTTTTTTTTTAAATGTAAATTTTGTTTTTGCTGATTGGAATTGAAGTTTTACGTTCTAAGTTTCACCGATGTCAGATCTACTAATTCAGCAGGCAAGGATAATTTATTTATCCTCAACGCTTTTAAGAAAATATCACGTGTAAGTGTAAAATAAGACAACTCGCATGTGGCTTGAGGTGGGCGGGCCTACTTATAATGGTTCATGCGTGAGTTTAGAGAGCAGGCAGGTTTTTTAATAGCAAAGGCAGTTAGTTCTGTTATTTTTCCCCTATAAACTTTTTCCCCTATAGACTACAGTTCTAAAAAAAACAAAAAATAGTCAATTTCTTTTGTTCCCAAGAAGGCGCTGAAAGAAACTTCGATAATTTGAAAATTTTTGCTTATGTTTAACTAAAGCTTATTGCCCTATTATTAGCCCGATGGCTTGATTTAATTGGTCAGAGACCCAAAAAAATCACACCGGTTTTTCTCGACAATTCTATTTATTTTGACGCTAACGACTCAACTGGCTTTAAGGTCATTTTACTCGACCCGTTCCGATGAATATTTGTGGTGCCTGTTTTTTGCGTGCAGAAAAAATTCGAAAAAAAATACTAAAAAAAGAATAGTCGGTTAGTGTGCAAGTAGCACAGAATCTTCTGGCCACATTCATAAAAAACTACAATTTTTTTTCGTTAATTCTGTGTAGTTTTTTGTGCGTGTTGTGATGATAGAACTATATGAACGCGTCGAACATAATAAAAAGGCATAATCGGCAACAGTTGTGTTCAAGCAATACCAAGGTCAAAACAGGTGCAACCGCCGAAAGTGGGTTTTTGTATAAACATTAGTCGGTCTGTATTCTTTCTGTTCGAGAACAAGATAAGTTTGCACTTATCAGGGAGCAAAGACGCCTTATTCGTGATTGGACAGCGATAAAGGTTGTCAATGTCATCTTGCAAAGTTTTATAAATCGTCAAAATCAGTTAACAATTATTTGTGAAGAGTAAGCAGCAAGAGCTGTGTTGAATTTCATCAGGGAAATCGAAGTCGTTCCTGATAAAAAAATAGTTATTTTGATTCGATTTCTACTACGCTCCAAAGTATCTAGTTACACTTGAGAAAGTGAGTGTCTAAGAGGGTACTAGACTTTTTTCGTAACTATTCTTTCTTACAAATTTTCAATTTGCTTTATTATTGAATCTTAACAACTACAGGCTTCTTCGCACTTGGCCTAGAGGTAACACAATTGCCTTTGAACCATTAGGCTTGGGGTTTGAATCCCATTAGGCTTTTCAAATTTGAGAAATTAGTATAATGAATATAAGGGCTATGGAAAACTCCCCCGCAGCTACGCTCAATTTTTTTTACACGTAAAGTTATGGCCCTCGGAAAAACCAAAATTTTTTGGTTGTTTGACCGTTTTTTGAATCTTTTTGATGTTTCTCGAAAACTAGCCTCCCAAGTCTGAGATTGTAAGGTCAATGGGTATAGTAGGTAGCAGGAAGCTCCTCTGCAGTAGAGGTTAATCGCAAACTTTTTTACACAATGAGTTATCGAACTGGGAAAAGTCAAATTTTTGATTTTTTTGACCGTTCTAATTTTTTGAGTTTTCTCAAAAACTATGCTCCGATATTCAGAGTTTTTTGCATACGCGACTGGGCCCAAAATTTTCAAGCAAGTAGCTATTCTCAAAAATAGCAGTGTTTTGATTTGACTCTTTGTTAGACTTTTCTCGATATATATCCTGTCAAATCTGAAATCATAGGTTGAAATCGAAACAACGGTTGTTGAAAGCCTACCTTTATAAACGGTTCCGGTCAATTTTTTAAGAAAAAGTTGTGGCCTTCAAAAGTGTCCAGTTTTTGAAATGTTTTGACTTCTCGCAAAAATTACCGTGCCAATTCTCAGGTGCAATTTAGAAACCCGGTTGATTACCTCCAAGATTGTTGTAAGAAAGTCATAACCGGGAAGGATGTAAAAAAAACGCATCTGTGTCATAGTTTAGTTCCTTTTTTTCGTGAAGTGTTCGCAACAATTAGAGGACTGGCCTTGAATAGAAGCTGCTTCTTTAAAAACTTAAAACTCGATAAATTAGTTCATTCCGTTGAAGAAATATTTTGTCTTTGGTCGTCTCTCATTTTTAAAATGGCGAGTGTCGTTTGTTTTGGATACTGACCGATGATCGATCCATGCAAAAAAAAATTTGACCATGACCCTCATGTAGTTCAGAATTGTAGAATGGAGTCAAATGCGGCTTTAATTTGAAGGTATTTATTATGTTTTTCACTTGGTCCAAAATTGTGTCCGAATTGAGCGTCTTTGAATCTGAGGCGGCCCTACAAGAAAAAATAAAATACTTTAGGATTCAGTCGAATAATGGAGAGTTATTATATCGTAAGTGAAGTTGTTGGAGGACAGATATATGTAGATTCTCTGGAGAGTACGAAAACTGGATTTGCCTCAGTGTTCATTTTTAATCCGTGTTCATCTTCTATACCCCCCCCCCCCCGAAATCGTGTAAGTTATGAGAGCAGCAGAAATTAAAGTTCTGAAATTTGATTAATTGAAATTTAATTATCTTTGTTTGGCAGTTTAGGTTTGAAGGCTCACAGACAATTCGGCCAAAGTCAATTCAGCGTTAAATTTTTACTGATGCGTTGTTATTGTGAACGGATTAAGTAAAACGACCATTTTTACCTGACGCAGTGAATTATAAAGTGTTTTCAATAGTTCTTCGTGTTTCAGATTATGATAGCCTTGGTAATGTTGCCCAGGGCTTAGATTCCCGAAGTATGCTTCGTGTTCAATTTAAAAACGAAAAAATTAAATTGCGCTTCAAGCCACAGCCAATAATTAAATCTTCATCAACAACTTGGGAAACCCAACCAGTATGCTTGTATCTTGAAGATACGAGCAGTTTCAAATTTAAAGATGTGTTTTTAAACTCACGGAAATTTCTTCAATTTCTATCTTTATTCGAAGAATTGCCGTTTTCACAAATCAAAAACGGCACGAGAAGAAAGTTGAACTATCCAACTAAAAGTAGATTCCTAAATCATGTATTCGATCAAAACAGCGGCACTTTTAATCCAATTGTGGTACACTGTTTAATTAGGCCGTCGTCTTGGTCTCCAGAGAAAAGTTTCGAAGATTTGGTTGTATGTGAAAATGGGTTTCTATTGACAGAAGCGGACTTTTTGTGGGAAGAAAAGTTGCGCCGACTTCGTAATATTAAGTAAGTTCTATTTATATCAAATAAGCACCAAATGATAATTTATTCCAGTTCAGCCATCATTTTCAAGTCATTGAGGACATCGTCTCTGGCTGACCGACCCTAAAATTTTTTCAGGCGACAATAATTAATTTTGATCGGGAAGTTATTTTTGGGGCTGTTTTTCATCAATTTTGTCGACCTAAAAAGCGCCCTCCTCTCGAGAAAAAACCAGATCCGCCCCTATTTGCTTATAAAATTATGTCCGGTGAATGTACTAGAAACAGTTTATTAAAATTAATTTATTAAGTAGCTCTGATGTTCATGTCGCCACAGGGTTCATCTGGAAACGGAGTGCAGCATGCTTTCGACAATAGGCGGTGCTTATTCATGTGTTGGCGACAAAGGCAGCCGCAAACATGCGAAGATAGCGGGCAAAATTGCAATCGGACAACTCAAGCTGGCCTATATTTTGGGCGACGATTTACTCAAGCTATATGCACTAGTCTACATAGCCTATAGTTTTCTGCAGCGAAAATTGCTCGTCCAATGCTGCACAATTGCTGCCAGAATTATCCGCTTGTATTGCGACAAAAACATATTTAGAGGTCATGATCAGAGGTTGGAAAACATGTTGACCTATTTGTGGACTAGGCTAAGAGTCAGGACTGAAAGGAGTTCACGTCAAGGAGGATCGTGTTCTAATTCAGGCCATACATATCAACAACTAGCAGAACAAACTGAGACACAAACAGATGGAATAAAATCAAACACTTCTGAAAGTTTTGATCTTCTGAATGAATTTGTGCTTTCCAATAGTCCTAGAGAAATTTCAAATTAAACCGTTTTTCTTCTAGACGAGGATGCGCTATGTTTCCAAAAAAGGATATTTAACCAGTTGAACAAGTTCCACATCACTGCATTTTCTTGTGCAGTAAGAATTTCATTGTAAAAGGCGTTTTTTTTTAGTTTTTTTTAAATTCGTAAATCTAACCGCTGACGTATAATTTGTTTTAGCTTTTTTCGGCCTATATGGTTTCGCCTCAAGTTTTTTTGTTAGCTAAGTAACCTTTTTGAATTCTCTTGCGTCTAAAGCGTAACTACGAGCTCGAAAAATTATGTTGAACTATTAACGAGGAGAAGTTGATCAAATAGAAATGGGAGGAGAAGAACAAGTTAGAGACGAAGGCGACATACATCTACTTGACAGTGATGATTTACTTCTACTGGACAGTGATGCACAATTATTTTATAACAGGGAACAGAATTTTTCCAAGAAAATAGTGTTTTTTACCAGAGGCCAATAGTTGGAATCCCAAAAATGTTGTAAAAGGTTTTTATAGCCTTTAATAAATCCATTTTCAGCGAAAATAAAAATTGAGTATCTGAAAAAGACCCATCGATGAAAGATATAGCATTATTGTCACTTCCAATTAATAATCAATTAATGAGCGGATACTTTAATCTATCTAATCTATCTATTATATATTTAAATGTATTAGCTTTTTCCACGTATTATTTTTGCATGTATAACGAAAGAATTGTTTCACGTTTTAGCTATATCGCATATTGAAATAGCAACACAATTGTGGGAGGTTGTCAGGTTTACCCCGGGTTTTGCGAATTTGCGCCCATTTATAATGATCCAAATCCCTGTTATCAACGAGATACGACCATTTTTGTGTTTTTTTTTTCAAAACTTTCGCACCAATCAAAAGTTTCACAAAATTTGATATAAATTCTTATCTGTATAGTGAGCCCTTTTCAGGGTACTAAAACTTGATTACAAAAAGATTTACGAAATCTTTAATTCCCATCTCTATAATGGGGTGATCTCAGGGTCTTCAGAGGTTGTTTTTTTCCTCCAAGTTTGACTGCTCAAATCAGTTTAGTTATGCCGAGGTTGATAGTTTTGTCAAAATAGTCTTAGTTTTGAGATATGCCTTTATGATTTTTCAATTTTTTTTTCAAAAAAAACTATCTAAAAATGGTCTAAAGAACAGTTTGAAAAGTTCTCAACACTATGGTGGGTACTGCCAAGCTATTCTCAAGAAGTTATTTGGACTCCCTGATAATACTGACGCATTGGTTGGGTGAATGTCTATTAATTGCAGCAAACGATATAAGTACGGGCTAATGAAAAGAAAGAGCAAAGTTAAACAGGGGCCTCGTTCATGAGTTTATTGATGTCGCCAGTGAAATCACGTTTAACGCTGGTTTCATTTAGCGTTTAGCTGGTTTATTAAGCGGAGACTTTTAGTAGGTCTTAAATTTGACGTTTTACTTATCTTTTAGCGAGTGTTATCAAAGCGGTACTGGAGTTTTTGGTAGCGGGTTCAAACAGGAAGACAAATGCTTCATAATTCGATGGTCCGCTGTGTGAATCCCATATTACCTTAATTTTTTTCGAAACTTAATTATTTATGTACCTACTTGCATTTATAAATCTCCTGTTTTGCCTTTTTTTGCTTGTGCTTGGGAAGTGTAGATTTGCGTCTGTATATCATCTATACATTATGGTGAGGGGCTGCCAGGGTTTGCCCAGGAGTTGCGAGCTTAGCCTTAAAATATGAATTCTCAAATTTTTGCTAACAAGATGTGACGGTTTTTGCGTTTGCTTCAAAAGTTCCAAAAAACCTTGATTTTAAAAGATCTATCGAAAATTGAAATTTTCCACCCTATATTGGGGTACTCTCAGGGGTTGCAACTATGCTTTCCAAATAAAACTGTTCAACGCATTTTAGTTTCCGAGGCAGAAGTATTTATGTTTTTCAAAAACTTAGGTTTAAAAAAAAATTTCACAAATTTTGAAATTCTGAACTATATAGTGTGGTACTGTCATGTTAATCTCCGGAGTTGCAGATGTGGTATATTGCTCAAATGTGGTCTACAGCGCATATTGCTGCTCAAATTCTGTCAATCGTCGAGTTTTGACGCTTATTTTTCAAAAGTTTCCAAAAGGTTTTGTGATGATACTCCCAGGGGCTGCACAGCTGGCCTCGAAGTATGACAATTTATGTTAATGAGCTCAACAAAGTTCATGAACGAAATTTTTTCAAACCAGTTTCTAATTTTTTAAAATAAGTTCCGCGGGATTGAGCAATTGATGGCCTCAAGTGATGTTTTTTCGGGCGATTTCGTGATTTAACAAAAAACTTATCGTTCTTACACTTGCGAAGCTTAGTGTATTAGTAGGAATTTTCATTTTTCCAACCCAAGTCGCAAATAGAAGTGATACTTTTGGTGGCACTTTCGAAGCGGTAGGTTGCACTAGCAGTATAATGTCATATGTGCTTTGACATTCGAATAGTAATGCGTTAACACAGTTGATGCATTTTAAATCCATCAAATGAACAGAAAAAAAGCGAATTGTTTCAAACAACATAACAATCATATAAACTCGATTTCAGTTTTCTAACACATATATCTCACAATTTTTTGAAATGCATAATTTATACATAATGTGCTTTCAAATTAATTACATTCAAATCAGTGTGGATGCATTCAGTTCGTTATATTCCAAACCGTTCGAATCCGACACTTAGCTGTTTTTGCTGCTAATTCGAGGCTTAATTCGACTTTTTCTTATTTCACTTGATAGAGCTGCTTTTTGGCCGTCTTCTCGCAATTGTTTGCGAAGCGAAGCTTCTCCTCTGTGTAGAAATTTTTTGAACTTGAAAAGTGCAGTTCTATGCTTTCGATCCTTTTAGAGCCTGATTTTTGAGTTAAAAATACGAAGATCTGAAAACCAGTAGTTTTGGAGATATGACTATTAATAAAAAAAGAAACCTCAATTACCGTTTAAATCGTTTATTTTGTTTTGGTTTTATTGAGCTTTGATGGTTTCAAGTAGCGCATGGTATGAGTAATAGGAAGAGGAAACACGTGTACGCTCCCAAACCACACCTGACCATCGCAGAAGACGCCACGGGGTATCTGTTCACCACTCGTAATGAGTCATCCACGAAGGCTGCTCGGGAAGCAATCAGACTCCTAGTCAGTGTGACGAGAGGCAGACCGAGCTGTGGGCCTCCCGCAGAGGGCAAAGGCTCACAGGTAGTGATGAATATTGTAAAGATTCGCAGGCCAATTTTTTCTCGAAACGAAGACAAATTTTTTTGAAAACGTTTTGGAATACGAACTGCGCTGAAGAGGCTTTAATATAGTAAATACTTATAGGGCGATAAAAATTGAGAAAAAAAGAAGCATACCGAAAAAAAATTACTACAAACAGGTGGTCAAAATACAACCTTTTTCATTTTTTTAAAAGTTATCTAGAGGGAAAAACCTCACCGTGCACCATAGTTCCGTCCCATCCGTAGGGATTGACCGGTACAATAAGCAACAATTGTTGAGCTTAAAATTTACGTGCAAATATCTGCTCATCACTGGTCACAGGTTAGCAATCAAGAAGATCAAACTGAAAAAGAAGAAATTAATGACGAGGAGGATGAGAAAAGGAGTAAAAAGAACGGAGAGGGTAATGGGGATGACGACGGGGAGGATGGCGAAGACACGGCGGAAGATTCCGGAGATGATATCGAGCAGTTGATCGCAAGAGAGAAAGCGGAGTTCACCGAAGAGCGACAGAAACAGTCGAAGGCTGCGAGACACATCAAGACAATCAAGAACCACGCTTTCATCCACTGTTTACTCACCCACGTTCAACCTCAACACTCTCTGCGTATCTTCATGAAAGATTTCACCCAGAAAGAGGCCAAGTTTCTGAACAAGTGTTACCCTGTGTTTGCGGTGAGTCGCTTGAGTGAAATTGAGAAGGGCGTGAACAAGTTCGAAGAATCTCTCAAAGTGTTTGTGGGACATTCAACTATGGAGCAATCTGGAACAGAGGATGGACCGAAGGTAGACACAGGCTAGCTTTGATTATAGAGTGTTCAAAATGGTGGCAAATCAGTTGCTTCTTGAGAACTGAAAACATCAATCGAAACTCAATTATTTTATCGGGAAATCAATTTTAGACTCATTCGTTTTTTTTTTTGAAAAATTGATATGCAGCAACGACCTTTTTCTGTTTTTTTTTCGCAGCACGACGTTTAATTGTTTGCTATAGTTTTTTTTAGTACAAATATCATAAAAATAATAAATTTGGTTTCAAGAAGGGAACAATTTTTTGATTGTTTACAGAACGTATCCAAAAAATCCTATCTGTGAAGAAAACGAAAAAAGCCAGTTAGCTGTCTATCGAGTGGTGGGTGATATAATATACGTAACTATTTGGGTGAATATTAGATAGGTTATGTACGTAACTGATTACGTAACCGATTATGTAAATAAGTTATGATTACTGACTCACAGGAGGGCTTCTCTCTCGAAGGAAGTAAGGAGTTCAGCTGGAGTGTGTGCCACGAAGTGAAGAACTCCGACTTCTTCAAATTTGACTCCCTGACTGTGCCTGTGAAACAGATGCTCTGGCGCCTCTTCCCTCTCAGCCAATCAGTGAGTGAGCCCAAACAGGCAGACCACGTGATCAAACTGATGATAGTGAAACAGTTCTGCTACTTCTCTTTTCTATTCAACTTCAACAAGTATAACAAGTATGTCTTGTCATCGCCCCACGCCAATGCCAACTCCTCAAAACTGTCTGCGAAGTTGGATTGAAAATATTTCACTGTTGATAGTTTGTTACTGATATACTGAATTTGTTTTTGTTTCAAAAATATAAAAAATATTTTTTCTTTGATCTTTTTCTATTCGAAGAGCTCAGATTTCAGTTAGAGAATCCGCCCGGTTTTTAATGGCAGTGCTGGATATCTTAATTGAAATTTGCGGTTTTTTTGCCAATATTTTCACCAAAAGATCTTTAATATCTTCAGATATAATGATAAATTTTTCTGTTTTTTTTTTTCCCGTAAACAACTTTGTTCACAAGACTCATCTTGTCTTCTGAGCAAACCTCTAGCGGTGCCTTGTTTCAGCGGGCGCGTGATTTTTAATTGTTTCTATGTTTCTAGCGGGCTCGAATCTGAGCAGGATCTTTTTTTAAACGGGAAATATTCTGTTTCAAATGTAATAAGTGGCTAATTTTTTGTCTGCTTGTCTATTATCGGCTTTGTTACTACATCTTGACATCTTTGAACTGTTATACAGTTTGATTTAATTTGTTTATAATTTTACTAACCTTATCGTCATATATATTTTTTTATTTCGTTTAAGAATATATATCGGCCCAAATTATATCGGCCTATTTTTTGTCAGTATACTGACCTAATTTTGTGTCGCTATAAGAAAAACACAATTTCGACGCTCTCCTCGGCTTTTTTAAAACTTTGTTGTATATTTACCACTCGGTTAGTTGAAGTTTTATTTTTTTAAATTTTTTTGGCGTAATAGGTTTCGCCTGATAATTTATAGACTTAGCGGCCTCTTTTTGAGTCGTTTGAAGAGCAAAAAGGTTTTATCTAAACATTTTGTTTGTAGACTTGAATTTTTTTTTGAGTTTCTCAAAAAAAAAATTTCTTTGGCGCAACCTGGGTCGGCTCGAGAATTATGGGCTTTGTAAGTTTTATTTTGATGCTTGTTTTGAATTCAATTGTTTTTTTTTCAGTTTTTGCAAAAATTTTAGCTTTTCTCGGAAACTTTTACTTGTTTTTAATAAGGGGTATCAATTGAAAGACAGCCTAGTCCCCTGTGTGCCTGCAAAATCCCCTAGAGTATCTTTTTACTTGAACCCTCTGCCTACTGATTTCGAAACAGTGGGGGAATATTCGAACCACATTTTTGATTGTTTTCGTTTTCTCGAAAACTACCACTCAAGTCTGAGTTTTTGGTTTCATTGAATAGAATGGTTTTGAAAAGATCCCCTGCTTAAGTGGCTACGTCTAATTTTTTTTATTTATAAAGTTATGGCTCTCGGAATAGTCAAAATGTTGATTTTTGACTGTTTTGTTAATCTTTTTAGTTTTTCTCCAAAACTAATCTCCCAAATCCGATATTATGGGTTCAATGGAGATAACTCTCCTGCATTAGCTGCCACTCGCAAAAATTTGTACACAAAAAGTTAGCGCCCTCGGTAAAGACAATTTTTGATATTTTGACCGTTTTTTGAGATTTTGGGTTCAATTCAAAGAACGGGTTGTGGGAAGCTTATTTGCTTATGCGACTGCGGCCAATATTTTTGACACTAAATTTTATGGCCCTCGGAAAAGCCAATATTTTTTTGAATATTTTATTTTAAAAGTTTCGTCCTGCCCTCTCAAATCTGAGTTCGATCGAATTTACAGGTTGCGTGAATCCTCTCTGCATAAAGGGCTACGCCCTATTTTTCACACAAAAATCTATGATTCTCGGAAAGGTCAAGTTTATGATTTGTTGACCATTCTTCGGACTTTTATCGCTAAATATCCTGCCAAATCTAATATCATAGGTTTAATTGAAAAAATAGCTTGCTTAAAGCCTGCCGGTATAATTAGCTAAGCCCAGTTTGCTTAAGAAAAAGTTATGGCCTCCAAACAAATCGAAGTTTTGAAACATGGAGTTTTTTAGAAGCTTATTGACTTTACGCTAAAACTACCTGGCCAATTCTCAGGATGTGTTCAATCGAGAAACCCGGTTTTGGTAGTCGTTGCTTAAGCTACCACAACCTGCTTTTTGCAGAAAAAAGTTATGGATTTTGGAAAGTCTTAAACGTTTCTTTTTTGAATTTTTTTGACTTTTCTTAAAATTTAAACAATCAAGTCTGAGAGAAAGAACCGGTTGCGATAATTGTTCCTGCAGAAGCGTTGACTCCATAATTGTTTGTAAGAGAAATATCTCTGGGAAGATTTTAATCTTACTTATTTTAGTAGAGAAACAACTAAGGTTTTGGCAAATCCTATTGTTGAAATAACTTTTTTTCGTGCAGCATGAGTTTATTAAATTCATTCAATATCAAACACGTCTAAATTTTGTTTTCGACTTCTTTTTTTTTTGTGTTTGTCTTGTATCGCAAGTGATGCGAAGTTCCATTTCGCCTCTGTCTGTGCGAAGCTCCACTTCGCCTTTGTGTAATAAAGAAGTTATTTATTTATCATTGAGAGGCTCATTTTTCGTGACTGTGATTATGCTTATTTTTTCTTCCTAGAATCTTTTTTGAAACTCGTGAATTTTCGTATTGGGTGTAGTATTTGGCAGATTTACTTCGCGGAGTTAGTTTTATGTGACCTTTAAATCTCAAGATGAAGGTTCTTATGATAAATAAGTAATTACGCTTAGCGATTAGCAAGCGTTATCAAATCGGAATATATACTTTTTTTATAGATTAACAACTAGTTTAACAGAATCCGTCGAAACTCCACTAGCGCACAGTAAAAAAGTAAAGGTAGCAAAAAACGCGATTTACTTCTAGTTTTGTAAACTACGTTCATATTTAGGACTACAAAGGTCAGAAGGTGGGAATCCGGTCCAGACCTATTTGTTTGGAATTATTTCGGCTTATTTTTTGCCGGCTTATGATTTATGTATTCATCATGATTTTTTTTTCAAAATAATCTTGTTATTGTGCAAGTAGTTGCGTTCCAAGTATTTTTGCTGAATTTTTTATTTGATATTTCGTTTACCCTTATATTAGGCAAGTATTGAAATTTGGTACTAGATTGTTCTCTTAGAAACTTTTGCTAACGAAATGGACGAATCGTTGTGTTATTACACTTGCGAGAGAAAATTTGTTGTAATCAGGACAACACACTTTTCCCGTAAACAATTTTTCTGACAAATGATACTTGCTTTCTGATTGAAGCTTAACAACTTCCAGGAAGAAGCTATGCAAATGAAGTTTTCCCGTTAAAATAGAAATGTCGTGCTTTCGTTTGTCTGCTCAAATTTTGTCGGTTTAGTTGCCGCATCACGGATTTTGCTTGTGCTGTATGCAACTTCCATAGTAGTTGCAAGTGCAATTGTTGTGTGTGAGTTTTTTTTCTTATTTTTGAAAGACATTCTTTTTTGGGATAAAGTGGTGTGTATCAAAGATGGTCGATTTCTTTACTACATGACGGTTTTATCTCGTGTTGGAAGCAAATTCTGTAGTAGTTACAAGTGCAAGTGTTGTGCACTGTAGTTTCAAAAGGGACTTAAACTTGAAAAATTGTAACGTCATTTTTTTTACTCAATTTGTGTCTGCTTAAAGATTGTCCGCTTTGTTTCCTCTTCGTAAGTCTTGTTCATTTATTTTATTCTATATTCAAAAGTCTAGCATGTTTTTCTATAATAGACTTCTACCGAGACATACAAAAATTTAAAATTTTTATTAGACCTAGTTTTTTCAGAGTTCCCGAAGTTTTTGTTTCTGGAAGTTTTCGGCGCTGGAGGTTGGCCTTAATTGTCTCAGCTTTTCTCTCGAATGTTTTTTTTCTAATTTTCATCAGTTTTATATGAGAATGATTAAACCCTCAGAAGAATTTTTTAAGCATCTAAATCAATGTGACAAACCCTCCACAATAAAATAACAAACAAATGAATTGTGCGATTATTTTGGTTGTCTCACCGGCTGTATTTAAGTTGGTTTTTCAATGCTGGTAATTAGATTTGAGTTTTTCAGACCTTCAACAACTGATTTGTAAATTGTTGTTTTCACTACTTTCGAGCCTTTTATGTGTAACAGTTTTTTCTAATGTACTGAGATTAAGCAAGCGTAAAGTGCTAATAAACAAAAATTAATTGGGTCAGTAATTTTTGATGATTTGGTTCAAAGTGTCGAGTTTTTTCAACTTGAATTGTCAGCTTGAAGTGTCAGCTTGAATTGTTTCTTTTTTTTTATTAGTCTTTATATTCCTCTATTTCTGCCTTAATTAGGTTTTAAAACAGTATCACAATAACTCAATATCTTTTTATTGTTTTTTGTCATGCTAACATTGATCGTCTTTTTGGATTCATTCCATTTTAGAAATAGATCGATAATGAGCCATATGTGTTTTTTATCAGTATTTTTTAATTTCTTTTTTTGTCAACACATTTATCTCCGTACTGTAGTTGCACTGAACTCGAAACAATGTCTTGGGTAAAGCTTTTCAACAAACTTCCGCGATGCACTTTTTTAATGTTGATATTACTTCGAAAAGAAATTAAAGGAAGAACAACGCTTAGAAATTTTGGAAATGAAATAATTTTGGTGAGTTTATGCATTTGAATTGGTATTCTCGTGTCCTGCTAATTTTGATTGCAATTTTTTAATTCGATGCTGAACTATCTTTGCATACTTCATTAGTCATTTTTCAAAAAGACTTGTTTTTTTTGCAAAATTTTTGTTCAACTGTTTCTTTTAAGTTGTCTGATCACAATTTCTATGTTTGTAATAGAAAATTGGCTATATTTTGCTTCATAACTTGCAAAGCATTATAAGTTTTCTTGTTTAGTTTAACTTCATGTTTTTTCCTGCTTTTGATTCAATTTTTTTCCGCAAATATTTTTGAACAAATGAAAAAATAAGTTTCCAGACTTGATATACGTTAAATTTTCACGGAAAACTTAATTTTTGCAGTTTGAGAATCGGTTTTTTTAAGTAGATTGCCTTTTTTGTCCTTTTTAAAGGATTGCTATAAAACGAAATATAATAGCTTGGTATTTATAAATCTTTTTTGTTAGAAAAATCAACTAGAAATAGTGATTTCGGTGATTTTTTACTCGTTATGTACCATTCAAAAATGGTTTTGTCATTTTGTAATCAATATGCTCAATTCAAAAATGGTTTCATCGCTGCTGACAAAGAAAAAAGCAATGCAGCCAAATTTAAAACTTCAATTGGAATCAGATTAAGTTTGCCGCTAATCGAATTTTTCTATGTTTTTTTTTGCTGGTAGCTGAAAAAAAGTTCGCGATACGCAAGAATTTTTTTTCTTTAAATAGGAACAAAAACCAGTACTTCATCATTCGATTAAATTTTTTTACAAACGTGAGAAGCTCTGCGTTGCCATTTTTGTAAAATTATCTCTTCGAGTGAAAAAGTACGTCGTTTTGTTCATATTAAGAGCAATCGAATGCAAGTTTGCGAGGTCTTGTACGGTTTTCACTATATATCTGTGAAGAGTGAATCTTTTATCCGTACAGTTTTCTCCTTTTAAGTTCAATTTACCTTGAAACCAATACATATATTTTTAATTATGTACATCATAGCAGCATGACAATATTTTATAAAAATTATATGAAGGAACAGTTGGTTTCGGATAAATTGCGAATTTCTACTTTCAGGCATTTGTTTGATCCACCCTTGGTTCGAGTCGCAGACGAATTTTTCGTTAGTTTTCCGACCGTTAGAAGTGGAGAGGAACTTTGTGTTCGGGTATGCTTGTGTTTGTATTCGGGTGTGTCACGCGAAATCAGTTAACACAAAAAACTTTGGATTGGGTCGAGTGATGTATGTTTATTTTTGCGAATGCTAGCGTCTTGTGATCGGAAACTAGACTTGTTTCCGTAAACAACTTTTCATAAAATCTGTAAGAACTTGTGAAGTTGCTTTTTAGTGAACCTTAGCAACTTCGAGATTTTTTCCAACTTGGCCCAGAGGTAACTCGGTTGCCTTTGTACCCTAAGGTCTCAAGTTTGAGTCCCGGCCGGGCCTTGACTTCCCCCTTCATATACGAAATTGATTTTTTTTCCAGAGAAAAGTTGAATTGTTTTCTTTTTGTTTGACTGCCTATGTTTTGTCGACTTAGTTGTGCCATTGGGGAATTTTCTTGTGATGTGAGCAGTTTTTCTTGTAGATGCAAATGTTTTGATTTACTCCTGTGATTTTTAAATTAAATAGCTTTGACTTTGTATTTTTTAAGAGTCATGAACGTAGTGAAAACTGTAATATAGGTCTTGATGATTTTTTGCTTTTTTTCAGGAAAGTATAAAAAAATTTCACGCTCAATTTTTATTTTTGCCATTCGACCTTTAGTTTTTTTTTTGTTAGTTCACTATATTTACTTCGTTAAAAGGAAGGCAAACTCCATTATCGATTAGAGAAAGTGAAAAGGTTTCCACAGACTAGTGAAAAACGTGATCGACTTCTAGTTTCTAAAGTGGATTTTAATATCCAGGTTTCCCAGAAGAGAAAAGATATTTAAACTGATCCAGTTTTTTCAAATTCAGATTTTTTTAAAACGAGTTTTTTCTGTTAACTTGCATTCCTTGGCTCTTTTCCAACTCTGTTGGCTATGTTCCTTCTGTATAAGGAATATAGCCAACATTCGCTCGCCAACATGCGTTCTTATTTGTAACCCCCGGTTCTACTCAATCAAGCAGGACCAACCGTGGGGAAGGCGGAATGTCATCCATTTCGCCGTAGCTGGTCCCATCTTGAGGAGGCGGATGACACTGGGACCCCTCAAACCGTGACCGAAGTGGGATCCAAACACGACCTGATCTGTGATTTACGAACTTTTTTGAAATTTCAATGTTTTTTTTTCATGGAATTAATATTGTAGTGTTAGCGGAGGATGAATAAGCAATTCGCGAAACGATGGTTTGAAACGATAGCGATCATTCGTAGCCTCAACTGAATTTCGTAATGTTTGCTCGGCAAGTAGAATCTAAGTGGTAAAGTTGTGATGATATAGATTCTGTGTAGTGTAAGATAACCATTCGAATTATAAGCCAGCCGAAATTGAGCATAGTATATAAACCAGTCGAAAGTTACGTCATTTTTATGGAAATTTACATGAAGCTGGTAAGTATTAGAAATACGGTACATCATATATTATGCAAGTGTCACCTTTTCGGCTGGCTTATACTTCGGCCCGTTTATTGCCGCAATTTGCTGAGTACTCAATTTGGTAAAATTAAAACATGTAGCAATAAGGTTTCAAAACAGTGTCTTAACCCCTCCCCCCCCCCCCCTCACACACGCACCCACACCTCCAAGTTTGTTCACCAGATAAGACGAATGTTTAATTTATACATCAGTTCCTTAGAATTACGTGTAACCTCTCCTTAACATTTGTTTCTGGTTGTTGAACTTAATTAGTGTTGTCATCGAGTGAACCACTCTATTCAGATCGAGGTATGTCTTCTGCAGGCAAAAGAGTGATAGTGGTGACTGGGTCGTATAAGGGCATTGGGTTTGAGGTTGTGCGTCTGCTGTGTGAGCACTATGGGGACAGAGCCACAGTGTACATGACAGCCAGAGATGCCACCAGAGCACAGCCATACATGGAACAGTTGAAGGCGAAGGGACTCAATCCAGCGTAAGTTTCAATCTGAATATTCACACTAGCGAGTTTGCGGGTGTATTGTAATAATACGAACTTTTTCTAACCTAACTCACAAGTATAAGTGTTCATTGAAAATGATTATTTCGATGGAAATTTCACTGTAGCATTGGAAATTCATATCATCTTTTCTTTGCTTTATTTGTTGGCATCAGTTTAGCGTCCGTGGTTGAGTAGTTTGCGCGTGAAACTCATAATCTTCAGGTCGCAGTAGGTCGTAGGTACGAATCTGAGAAATAGGCGAATTTTTATTAATTAGAGGCTAATTTTTACATTTCCTTTTGAAATTTATAGAGCTGCTTTTTGTCGTGTTCTCGCAAGTGCTTGTGCAACGCTCATTATCACCTTTGTGTAAAAAAGTGAACTTACAAATTTTGCTAGAGTAGAACTTTGAGTAATGGTATTTTTGCTTTTTGTGAGCGAAGTGCAATTTTGTCTCCGTCAGTGTTTTTAAGTGTCTCGATTTGACCTAACCAAAATTAAGAAGTTTCGAAATTCGCGAATGAAACCAACTTTCACATATTTGGGATCTGAATCCCGAATAATTGGTGGAGCGAATGCTAGAAATTGGCAAATAAGCCAATCATCAGAATTTTGTATATAAACACTCTAAGCAATCGCATTAAAAATGCATCCAGATGATTTAAAAAAAAAGATATTTGTCAATTATAAAATAAGCAGATATTTTAGTCGGGCGCATACTTGTTGCAAACGTTTCAGTCCCGAGACACTAATAGTTTATGAAAAAATGCCAGGCGGTTATCTGCGCGAAGCGCCGTTTAGCGGCTGTGGCCAAGCCTCTTGGACATAGTAATGTGTCCTTCCTTTTTCTGTGATTTCGACACAAACTTTTCAGCGCATAGGAACTCGTCGGGTCTTTCTTGATTCTCATGAGTTGAAGCGTTTATATACAAGCTATTTACGTCGTGCGACTTTTTAATGTGGTGGTTTGATTTCGATTTTTTTCAGGAATTCGCCTTTCAAATCGTTCGTCGTTTCAAATTATAGCTTTTTTGTATTAAATTTTATGAGCAGGTCGTGTTAAACTGTAGCTTATTCATTTTGACTAAATCCTATTGGACCATGAAGTTTCACAGAAAGGCTAGTTTTGAGTCGAAAATACGATTTTCTACAGCCTCTCCTTGTTTTTTGTTCTCCAGATTCGCCGAGTTAGACATCACCTCCAAAGACAGTGTGATGGCCTTGAAAGCTCTGATAGAGCGTGAACACAATGCTACACTGCATTCTCTCATCAATAATGCAGGCATGGCTTACAAACAAGCGGCCACTGAACCCTTCTCACAACAAGCGCAGGTACTCAAGTGTTCGCACCTAAGTTATTTATTAGTAAACCTTAGCGGTTAATAGACTTTAGTGGTTGTCTCAGTACGCTAGGGTCTGGGATTCGAGTCCCGACCGGAGTTGGTTTTTTCTTCAGCATGTATGAAATTATCAAAACAAATTTCCGGAAAAAATATAATTATCGGATTTTGAGTTTGACTGCTTACGTTTTGTCGGCTTAAATGCCACATTCTGGATTTGTTTTTGTGCGGCCAACTTTTTTTAACGTAGATGCAAGTGTTTTTGATGTATTCCTGCATTTATAAAATTAATAGTCATGTTTTTTTTTCATAGTTACTTTGATTCGTGTTGCTTCATTAATCAAAAAAGATTGAATAAAAAATCAGTTAGTTTGGCTGGCATATTTTCTAAGTTTTAAAACTTAATTGCTCAAAAATTTTCATGACAATTTTGTTTTGGGCTCAATGAGTGGCCTAGGGCGGTTATTTTTGGCTCAATGAACGCATTGTCGGCTTAGTGGCCGCTCGTTGAAAATTATAGCTTATTTAATGATGTTTGTTGCGTTTCCTGGCTATTTTTTTCTGAAATTTTTTTTTCCAAAATTTTTTTTTACGATTTCGTTATTTCCTTCTCATTTTTTATTCGCTAGCTTGCAATGGTGTACTTGCATTGTATCGCAAGTGATGCGAAGTTCCACTTCGCCTCTGTTTGATAAGTGTTTTGAACAAATTAATATCCATTTCATTAAAAATCAAAATAGGGAATTTATTACAATGAGTCGTTGCCTTGTGGCAGCGCCGGCGGGTCAGCCACCTTTTTTTTGAGTGATTATGAAGTTTAGTAGGTTTCTGGAAAAAATTGAGTTGCCGAAATTTCTTTTGCTTTTCTCACTTCAAAAACCTTTCAGATCGGTTGTGCTCTAGAAGTTTGGTTACGAAAATTAACAGCTCAAAAAAAAATCTTATGACAACTTTTTCTTAGGGCATTTTTGGCTCCTTGGGTGTCTTCCTTTGTACTGTCGGCTTAGTGATCACTCGATAATTACTAAAAGCTTATTTAATGCTGGCGGTTGTGTTTTTCGTCTGTTTTTCTGAAATTGAAATTTTCATTATTTCCCAAAAAAAATTACCATTTTTCCCAACATTTGTTTTTCAACTTAATGATTTCCGTCCCACTTTTTATTCTCTTGCTTGCTATGTTATTTTTTAGCTCTTTGTTTTTTTCTCTTTAGATATCTTGAGTTTCGAAACTCCTCAGATCTGAGCTGTTTTTTTTTTTTAAATATATCTTGTCATAGCTTTCACAAGTAGCTCATGATGAAAATCGTATGATATTGATGTTTCAGGATACAGTGCATAACAACTACTTTGGGCATTTGAACATATCCGATGCGCTGCTCCCATTGGTTCCCTCGGGTGGCGTGGTAGTCAACGTGGCCAGTGGTGCAGGTCAGCTCTCACAAGTCTCCCCACAATATCAGAAACAACTATCTGAAGCTGATAATATAGACACGGTAACCGAAGTGATGAACAAATTCGTCGCAGCAGCTCAGAAGGGTGAACAAAAACAAGCTGGATTCTCCAATTCAGCATATGGAATGTCCAAATTAGGAATGATTGCCGCGGGAAGAGTTCATGCGAAACAACTGGCTGGTCGGAATGTGAGTTATTGATACTGATATGCTGTGCTCTTGTGTTTTGTATACAACGATGGAAATTCGCTAGTTTTGGAGAAAAAAAAATTCGATGCAAATATTTTAGAACTGCAAAAATTGAACCAGATTTTAGAATTGCAAAACTTGAACAAAAATAAAGTCAAACAAAATTAATTATTTGCACAACATTTCAAGACTTGGAAGTTTGATTGCAAAGTTTTGTACAAGTTGACGTCATACGATATACGACGAATTATACGAAGAAGCCCTTACATGATATTAGATTATACGAGAAATCAGATTGGTGCGATGAACGATTTTAAGAGGCCGTTATTTGCTGTACTTTTATAAGACGTAATTATTTTTTCATTGAGTACTATAAGGATGACATATCAGGGGCGCCTAAACCCAACAGTGTTTTTCTGAGAAAAACAGATTTAAAAAAATATAATAAACCGACCAAAAAAATCTAAAGAGCTTTGACCTATTGCCTACTTGAAGTAGGATTTTGAGGACGGAGCCTAATCTTCAGGTTGGAGCTTACATTTTAGTTGGAACTTTGCTGTATCGCATTGACAAATCAATAGCAACTGTAGCTGCTTTTTTAGTAGATACTTCAGTAAATTTTCAAGTGATTGTTGTGCAGATACGATGCTGTGATACTCGTAATCTCCTGGTCGGAGGTTTGATTCCGGCATACAGCAGTGGTTTTTTTCAAGAAATATTTGTACATTTTTTTGTTTCTCTCTTTTTTTACTTTTTCAGAGCTATTTCTTGCCTTTTTCTAGCTTGTGCTTGCGAATTGCGGTTTTGCCTCTGTGTCAAAATTTCTTACAGAAACTGATTTTACTCAGCAAAATTAGCCTGACATATCGCCATTTCTCTTCAATTATTACCAGAAAACAAATCGGTGTTGCTAGAAACAATCAAATAGGCACTTTACAAGAATATTAACACTAAGCATAAGAATATTTACACAAGAAAAGCGTTATCAAATCTTTTTCCAAGTTAACAAATTATCAACTTGTCTCTGAATCATTCGTTAACTCTGTTGTTTCGTCAACGAACAGACAAATTTTGGGAAAAATCACTTTGTATTTCACTGATTTTCCAACTGGTCGTAATTTTGATTGGTTGTAAACTTATTAACTCTGCTTCTGTTATTATAGTTTTCATTTTTTTTCGCTGTGAACATCTCTTTAATCGTTGAGGTTTTGGCTTTATTATATCGGCTTAGTGTCTCCATGTGTCAATTGTAAGGCGGAAAACGTTTCTTATGCGTACATGTTCTATGGGGCGCTAATGATTGAGTTGCAAAGTGTTGTAAAGCTCGATATTTTTGTGATAAAAAGCTTTTTCCTCTCAACAGGCAACCGCCTAAGTATCTTCGACTTAGCAAATGCTTTTTAATTTCTGTTTCAATGCTATCGCAAATTTAGTTATTGTTTTGTTGACGTTTTTTATTGAAATGAAATTCCGAACAAGATTGAAAATTTTGGTTGATCCATTTTTTCGACGTTTTTTCAAACATGTTTTTGGACTAATGGTTTTCGTCTCAAACGTTGTCGGCTAGTTTTCCATTCTATTTTGTGATGTATTGGTAGTGGCGCGAGAATCCGTTTCTCTTCATCTAAACTAATTAAAATGCTTTTTTAAATGGTGAAATAGGTAGTAATTAGTTAGATGGTTTTTACAGAAAAGATTTTTAGCGTCGTAATTTATCGAATTGATGTAGTTAAGGGTTTAATTGGCATAATATATTGTTTTCAATGAGTTAAGCCTGAGTTGATGTAAAAGTGACATGGCTCTATTTGTCTTTTGAAACATTTAGAGGCGCTGGTCGTCGCTAGCTGTCTAGTCGTGAATTTTTTTAAATGTTTCTTGTTTCTTAACACTAGGTTGCAGTGTTGAACATGTGCCCTGGCTGGTGTAAGAGTGACATGGCTGGGTGGGAGAGACCCCCCAAAACTGCAGCAGATGGGGCAGACACTGTTGTGTGGCTGGAGACTATGACTCACGAGCAGCAGATGAAGGGGTCAGGAAAGTTCTTCCGTGAGAGGAGCGAATCAACGTGGTAGATTTGCCCTACTGAATGAAAATTATTTAGTCAGACGCTTAACATTTTCTATTTTATTGTGAATATTATAAATAAAAAATAATAAATTTTTAAACCAAATCTGAGATTAGACATGCAAGGGCCTAGCTACTGTTTTCAAATTACAGAAGACTGTGGTTTGTATTTTTGTTACTCTGGCCAAGTCTACGCGGCATATTTTAGCTTTAATTAAATAGAAAGTCTTACGTGTATGAAGAAACATTTGTGAAGATCAATCACATGCATAGAAACTGGTCTCGTCAGTCACTTATGAAAGACTCAAGGGGCTTGTAGACTGAGTCGATAATGAAATCATATCCAAAAATTAAATTGATAAATAAAGAAAGGGACCGTTGTCTGTAGATTGCCATATTCACTGACCTAGAATTTTCGTACTACAGGAATAATGTAAACCCAATTTTAACGCCATTCAAAACTACATTATTTTGTGTTCTTTTTGGTCGTGATTTCAAAATCCTTTAGACCATAGCGTTGCCAACCTGAAGTAAAACCGAAAATATTTCAATTTTTTTTCGAAGCTCTTAATCAAATATACCGTCGCTTTAGCTCTGCACTTTTATGCGCCAATGTAACACCAGACGGGCAGTAGGTATTTTTCATTTAAAAAGTGACTGTCCTTTACTTAAAATTTATTCATTTCTTTTGCAGTAAATGGCAGAATTTGGGCTCGCAAGAAGAAGTTCTACTGGTTATGCAGTACTTTTGTTTTGATTTCTTAAAAAGATGTATCTTTGCCCAAAGCTAGACTGCTGATAATTTTTCTACATTTTTGCTCTATTAGCTATTATAACTAGTTATTCCTGCGTCTTTTCTTCTAATTCAATCTGTTTTTCCAGAAAAATATAATAAGAGTCTTGTTAGTAATCTGTTTGTTAGTTATTTTTTTTTGTACATCCATATTATTGGAAATTCTCAGATTAAGATTTGCAAGCCCCTAACGTGCACTATAATTATGAATTTTGAGAATTTTAAATTTAAAATCTCTGGTAAGAACCAATAAGGGTCAATCTGAATTATGTCAAAGAAGAGGAAAATAAACAATCATTTTCTATTTTTTATGTTGATATAATTGGTTTTATATTTTGAATTTATTGTCAAAGTAGGTTTGTAACTCTCAAGTACATTTCAATTTGACCAGACCTATTTGGATATTTGATTAACATCTATAACAGTTTGAACACAGTCTTAAGTCGTTGATTCCCATAATTAGGTTGTCTATTTTCTTTCTAAATAAAATGAAGAATAGCTTCTTTTTGGACCTCTAGAAAAGTAGTTGTGCAATGAAAATTCACTGAACGTAATAATAACAAATCTTTCTGCAGTTGTCACAAACTGGTTTTGATTTTAACAATCTTCTTATTTGACAAAACTTCTCGACTCTGTCGATCGGCTCTCGATTTCTAATTTCAGATCCAATGTCTCCCTCAAAACCCGGTGAGTCATCTGGGAAAAGAGTGATAGTGGTGACTGGGTCGTATAAGGGCATTGGGTTTGAGGTTGTGCGTCTGCTGTGTGAGCACTATGGGGACAGAGCCACAGTGTACATGACAGCCAGAGATGCCACCAGAGCACAGCCATACATGGAACAGTTGAAGGCGAAGGGACTCAATCCAGCGTAAGTTTCAATCTGAATATTCACACTAGCGAGTTTGCGGGTGTATTGTAATAATACGAACTTTTTCTAACCTAACTCACAAGTATAAGTGTTCATTGAAAATGATTATTTCGATGGAAGTTTTACTGTAGCATTGGAAATTCATATCATCTTTTCTTTGCTTTATTTGTTGGCATCAGTTTAGCGTCCGTGGTTGAGTAGTTTGCGCGTGAAACTCATAATCTTCAGGTCGCAGTAGGTCGTAGGTACGAATCTGAGAAATAGGCGAATTTTTATTAATTAGAGGCTAATTTTTACATTTCCTTTTGAAATTTATAGAGCTGCTTTTTGTCGTGTTCTCGCAAGTGCTTGTGCAACGCTCATTATCACCTTTGTGTAAAAAAGTGAACTTACAAATTTTGCTAGAGTAGAACAACATACTTTATTTAATAGTTATTTACAACAGTTTACAATTTTGCTGCTCTGTTCATTCAGTCAATTGAGCATAAATGAAACTACCAAACTGTTTCCTTATAGATCATTATGATTTACATTGATAATTACGATTCACACGCACTCAGTTTTGCCTACGTGATAAGGTTTCAGTCCTTGTTTTGTTTTCGATTTGCATTAAGCTCCAATTGTGGAACCTGTTTCAGATTTGCGGAGCTAGACATAACCTCGAAAGACAGTGTGATGGCTCTGAAGGAATCACTGGAGCGTGAACACAATGGTGTAGTGCACTGCATCATCAACAATGCTGGAATGGCTTACAAAAGAGATGCCCCAGATCCTTTTCCACAACAAGCTTCCGTAAGTATAAGTGGGTGTGAAATTACTGAGAAGCGAAGAGCTAAGAAAACGTTTTCGTCAACCAAGCGCAGCAGGAACTTCCTTATGTTTTAAGGCCTTGTTAACTATCTCCAGTATTGCAGAAAAGGTTGTTCTAAATGAAACTTTCGATTATGCCTGGCCGTTTAAAACCAGGGTTCAAAGGTTCAAGATTAAATGAGGCTAGCGTTACTGTGCTAGTTGCTCACAATTTTCAGAGCAGGTTGATAAAAAAAATAATGTAGTAAAAATTTTTACATTGAAAAAGTAAACCCTTCGTTTTGCCATTTTTTGTCTTAATTTTTTTGTCGCAATTCCCGCTTAGCTTTTTTTAAATTAAGCGATTGAATTAGGCGGAAAAGTCCCGAAAACCCAAAAATAGTCATACCCATTTTTCTCGACAATGTGACAACTTGTTTGGTTTTTTAGAATGAATCATGGCGAAAAGGGCTTTAATATGATAACACTCTCGACCCAAACAATTTTCCATGTGTCAGTCAAAATCGACTGGAAAAAAAAGCAAATCGTACGCCATAGTTCCTTCCAACAGCTAGTGTAAATCATTCTGCAGTTCATTGTATTTTTTATGCGGAGACAATTTTTTGATACTATTTCGATATCAGACAACTTTGAGAACCTTAGTTAAATTTTTCGTACTGGTTCAAACTTTTTTTCTTTTTATGTAGAAACCCATAATCCCAAATCATCGCATAATCAGTAAACAGAAAACAAAGACGGGTTTTATTTATTAGTCCGTTCAAATTTTTTATTTTTAACTTAACGTACTGTTTTAACTGTATTTGGCGGACAAGTTCAATTTCACCCAATCAGATTTCAGATTTGTTTCTTTTTATATTTGCGAATTTGGGTGGAATAAGTAAAAATGAATCCCAGAATCCTTGCACGCTTACATTCATCAATATGTTTTTCAGGAAACGATTGCGAACAACTACTTTGGATACCTTTTAATCAGTGAGGTCTTATATCCTATTGTTGCCAATGATGGATGTGTCATAAATGTAGCCAGCATGTGTGGCAAACTGAATCAGGTATCAGATCAGTACCAGAAACAACTATCTGAAGCTGATAATATAGACACAGTAACCGAAGTGATGAACAAATTCGTGGCAGCTGCTCAGAAGGGTGAACAGAAACAAGCTGGATTCTCCAATTCGGCATATGGAATGTCCAAATTAGGAATGATTGCCGCGGGAAGAGTTCATGCGAAACAACTGGCTGGTCGGAATGTGAGTTATTGATACGGATAATCTTTGCTCTTGTGTTTTGTATATTTCGACGAAAAATCGTTAGTTTTGGGAAAAAAATTTGAAGGAAATTATTTTAGAATTCACAAATTGAACAAGATTTTAGAAATGCGAAATTTAAACAAAATTAAAGTCAAACAAAGTGAAACGACAAATTATACGATGAAGCTTTCATACGAAATAAGATTTCTCATAAGTATGATTCCCATCTAACGCTTCAGGTTAAAGGTTTTTAAGATTTTTAGTTATGTCAAGTTTTTGGATGAAAAAGTAAAAATTTTGAAGATTCTGATTGCGCGCGATTTCGCTTGACATTCATGTATTCCAGCATCTTTTTTTTGCAGATTGCAGTGTTGAACATGTGCCCTGGTTGGTGTAAGAGTGACATGGCCGGGTGGGAGAGACCCCCCAAGACTGCAGCTGAGGGGGCAGACACTGTTGTGTGGCTGGAGACTATGACTCACGAGGAGCAGATGAAAAGATCGGGTGGTTTCTTCCAAGAGAGGAAAGACTACCCATGGTAGCACGCATGAACAAACAAATAAACTTGTATATTTTTTATTATTCGATTAGATGTTTTGATATTTTTATCATTTATTTATCTGATTTAGTTGAACGTTCCAGCAACAACAGTTTTTATACCAATATATTTTGGCATCCTAAAGAGATGTTCATTCGACAAGCATCTTGATTTCCTATTATGGCGATTGGAAATCAATCTTGTTACTTGGTTTTTAGTGTAACATATACAGCTCCAAATTCGGCAGTTTGGAACAGATGCTAAAGCGGGATGACTTTGAGCTAATGCCGATTCACTGGGTCTGCCATCTTTTGAAAAAGTTGTAAAACTCTTCTCTTCTGTGAAATCATTTATAGCTTGCTTCGTTTTTGCTATCCACTGTTTGGTTTGCTCATTCATAGTGCCAAATTCATTGTCTCGGATACCCAATTGGTTGTCACAAATAAATGCTAGATGCGGCTGATAAGTATGTTATGCTCAGGGCCTTTCAAACGTGATTTGAGCTGATTTTAAAATTCTCAGCGTGTTAAATCTTGAGAAAAAAAGATCAGATTTTTCTGGCAAAAAAATTGTCAAAATTAGATGAATGGACTCTCGTCCTCTCATTTTACCTCTCTCTCGCTCTCTCTCTCTCATCTTATTCATTTTTAATACCATATCTAATTAAACAAGAGGGTATTGTGTTATATTACAAGTCACGTCTTTTCCAATCCAACTCGCAAATGAAAGTTTCAGTTTTGATGCATAGAATTGGTAGTTCTACAGCTTAAAGTTTCCGCTTTACGATTGGCTGGTCTTTCATTTGACTTGCGAGAGCATGTGACTTATAATCGGGCACTAGAGTCTTTACGCTTTCTGCCGACATGCTCAATTCTGACAAGCTAAAACGCAGACTTTCTTTGTCTTGAAAATTCGAATAAAACTTATTTTTAGTTCACGTGGGAGGTAATTCGTTTTTTAAATTGAGGTTTTTTTTCGAATTTGTGGCTTCGTCCTTATTTCTGTCGGCTGATTTTCCGTTTTTTTTCTATCAAATGCAACTTATTTTATCTGCTAAAATTTTCAAGCGGTTCTCGTTTAAAGTTGGGTTTTTAAAATTATTTGTTCAAACTTTTTACTAAAATTGAAAGTTGCTCTAGTTTGTACTTTTACTAATTTTGGTTTTTAATAATTTATAATTTTTTCCTGTTCAATGGATTCGGCATATCTTTTATTGGCTTAGTCGACTTATCTTGCGCAGTTTCAAGAGCGAATTGTCTATAATGTTTTTGCCTGTTTCAGGAGTGATGGGTTGTAAAAGTTTAACTTGAAAAGTTATAGCTTGAATATTTTTATGTACACAGCTTCGTTTCTAGCTTGATGAGGGTCGACACAAGTTGTTTTGCCTTAGTTGTCGCTTGGTCATTGATTCTGAATGCTTGTTAAGACTGTTTATGAACATCGTCTGAGACAGGTTTGAATTTGTTGTTGATCGTTTTTCGGACTTTTTTTAGGTTAATTTTTTTCGCTTATTTTAAAAAAAATACTTTCTTCGTTTTTTCTTTTCAATATCTTGTAATTTAAGAACTTTATTGTATGGCAAGTCAATTTCTAGTGCGCAGTTTCAAAAGCGAATTGTGTTTTGTGCTTTTGCTTGTTAAGGTTCTTTACGAACATTGTCGGAGACAAAGGTATAAAAATTTATAGATGAGTTTTCTCGATTTTTTCAGCTTAACTCTTTTGAAGAAAAAAAATCCTTATATTTTCAATATTTTGTTATACAATGTTTTAATCGTATCGCAATCGTATCGCTTCAGGGAGAAAACCTGATTTTCTGTTTATTAATCTTTTTAAAGCTACTTTTTGGTCTTTTGTCGCAACGTGCAGCTTCGCATCTGTCTCAAAGTTTGTTTCTTTTATGTTGACTCTATATTTGCCAACTGCGATTTCAAATTCAGTTTTTTTCATTTTTTTTTGCTTTATTCGGTGCTTAATATTTGGCTGATAATATAACGGTCTAGTGAAATCATATTGTGTAGTTTGATTGCGAAAAAAAATGTTATGCCCGAAGGCTTGCATGAGGCTTTTGTCTTTAAGGCACTCAGAATTTGATTCTCAAATATTTGATAGCTCAGTCTTAAAGACGTTTTTTTTCGTACCAACTGCTGTGCGCTCATGCAATTCCGCCTCAGTTATTGCTTAAGTTTTGTTTTGATGCTGCTCATTCAACACTGGGAGTTGTTTTGAGCGGATTGTTTTCCTCAAAATAATTTTATTGAAAATGAGACATGTAGGAACATTTTGGTTAGTCTTTTTTGACAAAAAAAAAGACTCAGATGTTGCATGGAAAACATTGTAATCCTCTGGTTTGTCTGTTTGTGTAAAATATTTTCTGAAAAATCTTTATGATGAGCTGTAAAGCTCAGATAATCAATCCTTCTCAAAATATTAAAATATAAAATGAAAGAATCGTTTTAATTGAATTTATTTTTATTAAAACAATCGTGGTTGACTTTTTAAAATCTAAATCTAGAACAACCAGATATTCTTGCTGTTAAATTTCTACACAGCTAGGTTTGCTAGCCTTGTGTTAGCATAGGAGTCGATTATATCAATCTAACTAGCATAAAACTGTTTATTTGGTTAACGCTTTCGTTGCGCAGTAATAATAGTTTAATAGCATGTGTCACAGCTTTAACCGTGGCTATTTGTTTCGGCTCTCTTAGCGTCATTAGTATAGTTAAGTAGGGCAGTCACTTTAGATGCTCGTGGAATGTGGCGCGGTTACCGTAAAATGTTTTTTTTTCTTTTTTCGCCTTTTTAAAACTACTTCTTTGCTACAAAATTCGAACTTGCTACTCTTGCTGTTCCGAACTACAAAAAAAGTGATAGTTAAGATCGAGATACTTTTTTCTTCAGAAATTTTACGACCTCTAACTTTCCATTTTGAAGTTTTTTGTACTATCGAAAAAATTGACAATGTCCTGAGCTAACAACCAAAATTTTTTCCAGTCATTTTTGTTTACAAACAAACAATGGATTGAAATTTGACCGTTTTGCTTTAATCGATTCTTTACTTCTGCGAAAGCAAGGGTATTGCAATCGAGTATTAGACTTTTTTCCCGTAAACAACTTTGTCCACAGATTTCAGCGTGCAATCATTGATCTATTACTCTCACTGTGCATCCTTATTCGTGTTTTTCCAATAAAATCGCAGTTTCCGTTTTTAATGATGTGTCTTTGGTATTTTTTTGATTTTCGACTTTGTCGCTTTCGCTTTACTTTTTGTCGGCTCAGTTTCCGCTTTGTTTTTTAATGAAGTTTCCTCGATATTTTTTTTATTTTTGACCTATTCGCTTTCGGTTTACTTTTTGTCGGCTTAGTTTCCGCTCTGTTCGAATCACTTATTTGATTTTAGTTCTTCTAAACATAATAATTGCCTAACTGATTTTGAACTATAATTTATTGGCTTAGTTGCCTAATTTTGAGTCGTTTCAATGGAAGCGTATTTTTATCTCACCTCAGGTTTGCAAAAAATCAAAATATTTTAATAGAAATATATTTCAAATTTTTATTAACAACATTTTTCTTCTTTTTTTCCCTTTTGTTTCAGCTTGATAGGTGTCGGTCTTTTTATATCAGCTTATCGGCCTCATATTGCGTCCTTCGACGAGAAAAAAATGTGTGTGTGTGTGTGTGTTTTGAGGGTGATGGGGCTTAAAAACTTCTTTTCTCACTTCTTTTTTTTTCATTTTTTTGGGCTTTATGGGTTTCGGGCTATATTATATCAGCTTAGTTGTCTCATATAGTTTAATTTGACGAGCAAACAATATTGTTTGAGTGTTTTGAGGGCAAGGGGGACTTATCATTTGTCTTAAGACTTGTTGATGTGTTTTTTTGGCTGAAAGGTTTCTACTAAGATTTTGTTACCGCTTTGTAAATTTTGCTCCGATGCTAATTCCCGTTCTCTTGTCTCGACATGTTTTGGCTTTAAAACTAGCCTTATTCATTGTGATAGATCTAGTTTTTCGACATTCTCGTTTATTTTTGATTTTGTGTTGTATCGCCCAATACCGCGCAACCGGATAGTTATTCCAAATATAAATTCAATCTAAGTTGAATTGAGACGATATGTTTTGTTTCTTGATTACTTATACTGAGCATAGTTTTCTTCTGCGAAGAAAATGTCGTGCTAAGCCAAGTGGGAAATACTTAACTATTTTTTTGTAGTTGATTTTCATAGCAGTTAGCATTAGTAATTTCAAAGCAAGTGCTTTGAATATTGGTGTCTTATGATAATACAGTTGATGCTTTTTCAATCCTTAAAATGAACCGAAAAAAGCAATTTCCTTCAAACAACAGTTTAATCATAAAGACTTCTTTTCAAAAAAAATGTTTTAAGTTCTCATTGTTGTTTGTTAAACCAAAGCGAAGTATTTCATTTGAAACGGCAATCGAAACTGAAACTTAAAGGGCGTCGTGCTGGTAATGGCAGTTTTCTTTCCAGTTCAAAATTATTAAATTTTTTTTTGCAATTCTGACTTTTTTTAGGTCAAGTTAATTGATTTTCCAAACTCTCCCAGAAAACTAAAAAGATCCTTTACTGAATTTTTTTTAACTTTCAAAAATGTGTTATTTTGTAGCTATTTTTTCGAGAGTTTGACAAAAAAAATGCGTTTTTTGGAATTCAGCTCCACCATCAAAATAAGTATAAATTGGCGCCAAAAACTCCTCAAGGAAATTTTTAGGATCTTTCGTAAAATAGTAGCAAGGGGCTGAAATTTCGGAAGATACGGGATTCGAGACCCCCACTTCCTTTAATCCGCTACTGATATAAAGTACCATGTAGGGTTCCATGATTCTGGAAGACCTGGAAACACACCTGAATGCATACTTGAGGAGAGGTTTTTTAAAGAATGGCTTCTTTTCGTTTTCAAACATGTGAAAACAATCTATAGTTGATATTACATGCGAAGATATGAGATGTGTTCAAAAATGTTAGCTTTAGCATTTTTGCTCTGAAAGTAAAACGTGTTTAGTTAGTCGAAGCTAAGTAGCGCCCATGCGTCTACGTTAGCTCAGATGGTTATAGGTATAAAAAATGCATTTAATTCTAATTAACAGCTTTTCT